GCAGTTAAATTCAGTTGTAATCCACTGTATTTCTTGAGTCTTTTCTGAAGGACTGTTACGGATTTAGTTGCTTCCTACCCTGGATTTGTGCAGTTTTAACTTTTCCTACTAAATACAGTACCCTGCACCTGTCTTTCTCGAGCAGCATGCTGTTTTGCCCAGGCCAGCATTGAGATCATGCAATGTTATCGTGGCTTTGGTTTTCAGTTCAAATGTCTCGAGTCATTTCAGTTTGCACAAAAATGAATTTTCAGTGTACCCTCAGTATTCATAAAGATATTGTTTCAAATTTTGTGCACATAAAGTGAACGCACAATGTCGACATCTTCACATTGTTTGAAAGAAATTTATTATACTTTTCAGCTATTAGTAGGTCAGACAAAATTACTTTTACTAAAGAATACAATTTTTTCTTAATGAACATCTGAAAAGCCTACAGATTACACAGTAATATTTTTCTTTCATTTTTTTCTCTTTCACCTACTTTCCTCCCATATATTCTAAAATTCCATTTCATTCTATTAGATCGTTTTCTATTTTCAAGTTCTTCTGCTTGATTAGTTCAAAATAAGGTTTTCTTTTTTTTTTTTCTTTGAGTAGGATTGAAATTTTATACTGCTCATCATGAGTTGTTTATTGTCCCAAAGGTGGTTTTCCCTACTGGTAAAGTGTATAAGAAAAGCAAAGTACACAAGCTATTTCTACTGTACCTTTTTATCTGGTGCCTGTCAGAAGACTTGGGAATCTTTTCTATGAAGAATGCATTATAAATTTTCAAGGTGCATTTTATAATAAAATTTAATTTTATTTTTCCTAAAATAGAGGCGTCACCATCTTCAACAGGTACCATATCAGTGCAGAAATGCAATTTAGAATCATTTTTTTTCCACGTTTTATTTCCAGAACATCAATTGTTGTGAAACAGAGGCACAAAAATGCAATAAGGGAAGTGGTCTGTGAAACAATAAATGGGGTTTGCTCTCACTATAGTAATAAGAAGTTATTTTTTTTGAAATTATTTTTATTTCTCTTCCTCCTGGCTATCTTTTGTGGCCCAGTAAGCTAGAAAACAAATGAAAAGAGAAGCCAGTCTTTAATATATGCTAGTCCTTTCAATTCTTCAGAAAAGAAAGAAGCTTCAAATTGAATCCAGGACAAATGCAAAGCTACCCAAATATATAAAACACTGATATAGTATGTCCACTGTCATGAACGTACTTAGAAAGGCTTTGGAAAAGCCTCAGAAAACTAACTACTTAGAACGGGAGACTGCCATGTGTTGGTTAACTTTGTAGTTAACTTTGACAAGCAGTTCAGCAGAGAGCAGTCAGCCAAGCAGTTCCAGAATACATTAACTCCTGTGGCCTTCAGGCTTCAGAAGAAGACTTTATTCTCATCCAGCTGTGGGGTGCTTGAAGTCAAGCTGTAGTAGTGAAAGGCATCGTTGCTGTAGGTCTTGCATGAAGTCCCACAAATTCCTTGTCTCTGAGACTGCCTCCTTCCTCTTTCCTTCTTTGCACTCCCATCCTGTGCCCTTCCTCTGGGAGATGGGTAATTGCATCTCCTCTTTGCAGGGAAAGCAAGGAAAACAAATATACTCTGAACAGACTGTGTGTGTAGACTGAAATAGGCTCTTTGCAGCCAGCACTGGCAGCTGATGTGTTTGAGCCTCCAGAGAGCTGTACTTGCTGGAGCACTGCAGGAGATTTCTGCCCAAGTTGCGAGGTCCCCTGATCCCACAAATGGAGAGTTTGTGAACTCTGAGAAGCATCTCACTCAAAGGGATATGGGGTGCAGCCTGCTGCGGTCCAGGAGAGTTCAAAGGGCCTCACTTGGAAATGCAGTTTATAGGATTGTGAGAGGATCGACTTCAGACATCAGTAAATTTCCATCCCGGTTACAATCCATGTTGGTAATTACTGGAATTCTCTAATTGCCAGTAATCACTGGTGCTGACTGTCTCGGGGCTGTCAGGGGAATGATTACTTATTCCAATCTTATTCCCCACTGAGGGAAGATAACCAAATTCCTGGTACACACCATGGCCAAGCAACTGAACCCTGGTATGGTCGGTGCTGTTACCCATCTTAGCAATGCAAGTGTGTTTGATACGGTCAAGGGACTTGACCACCAAACTCACTCCACAGCAGCCAAAGCTTAATGGGAATCTCTAAGGCTTCAGAGTGGTCCAGGGGCTGAGGGTGGATGACCACACAGAACTGCTGAGAAAATGTTGTTCTTTACTTCTCCAGTTCGTTGTACTTACATACAAAATGTATGTGACAAAATGCAGTGTTGTCACTTTTATTTGTACAAAATAACAGTAAAATTTTGCTACTAAGGTCCTGATCTACACACATCTACTTACTTCCTCTTGCAGAATTCCTGTATTAGGAATTGCCATCATCCTTATTGATTTAAGGTGGAGTTAGGCACACTCTACCAGAATACAGAAAACAGCCGAGACTTGATAGTGAGAAGAAACTTAGGCACTACATTTCCATAACCCCTTTCTTTGTGTTCAGAGAAAATAACTATTTCATTTGCACGGACAGATCCACTTTGTTTTTGGAAAGACAGTAATTCAACCACACCAACAAAAGGTGTGGTAGACAGGAACTGATATTTTTCTCCTCACTTTGTTTTGCTACTTTGGGGACTCCAGGAGCACTGCTGTCCCTGTGTTCTGTAGCTGTTTTTTCAGTCTACACACATAACCAGAGTCCAGTGCACAAAAAAGTGCACACATTTTCAGCCTATGCCAGAATCCATCATTCATCCTGAGCAGAACAGGGTATTAATGCTCTTAGATCAGTTCTGGAGTCTCTCTCCAGTAGGTGGTAAAATACCATTCTACACAAGAAAATTTGGGACCAGCTATTCCCACCCTGTTCTGTTTTGTGGTTGTTTTTGCTCTCCTTCTCCCTTACAGAATGATGCTGGTTTTGACCATGCACTCTGATTAGATCGCTGTGACCAAAACAGGGGACAGACCTGCTCAGCCTGTGGTATGGCAGTGTTTCTGTCTTTGGAGGTGAGCAGAGCTGGCTGTGAGACACAGTGTTTGGACCCAGTGAAGCACTCATATCAGATTTTACTGAAAATCTGTATCAGGAACAATGTAGGAGCTAGAGCTACAAAATTTGGGATACAAAATTCCTTCACTTTTCAGCTCTCTGCTTAGCTTTGGTTTTGTTTCAACATATCTGGTGGTGTTTCTGCTGACAAACCATTACATTTCCTAGTCCTTCATACCTGCTTCTTCCCTGCATCTCCCTGTAGATTAAGCTGGCACCAGGATAAAGAAAAAAATATTGTGAGAGATGCTTATTAAGGAAACAGCAAGACCAGAGTGATCAGTGTGTGGAAGCTTTTTAAGAAGGATCACGGGGAGAGATCTAAGGGGGACAGAAATAATTCATAGTGCTGGTAAACATGGTTTCAGTCAAGCAGAGAGGACAGAAGCCAGGTTAGAGGCCTCAATAGTAGAGCTGAACTGGGGGGAAGATGGCTCTTGGAGATGCTCGAAGGAAAAGAAATAGGTCATCGACTGAAGAGCTGGTGCCACTGACACCGCTTTTTTTTTGGAGCCAAGCAATGCAAGCAGTGTGAGTTCACTGCTGTGCAAATACTGCAACAGAAAATAAAATCATCTCAAAGCATGGAAGCCAGAGCTAGTGTCAAACTATCCAGTTTATCTCCTTTTCCAGACAGACCAGCCAGGTAACTCCTGAGCTGTTGGTTTTGGCTGTCGGGCAGGTCTGGTTGCTTGCACTGAGCTGCAGTATTTTCAGCAGGTGTTCCTTACTGGTCATAGTTAACCTGAAATGCTCATTTAAAGAATGCAGTATGTTGCTAAAAGATCCTAAAATGTACTTGAGGTGCAAAATGCATTCTTTGATTAGGGAATAATTATGTGACACTGTATAGGATATTTTGGAGAATATAGGTTATGTATACAGCTTCATGAACAGTGAAACTTTAGTTTTTTAGCATTTAAATATGATTTAAATGGAATATATCTTAATTTTAAATTGTTGTATGTCTTGGATCTCTTTCTTCTTTTAACTTAATTGAAAAACACACATAAGCTGTAAGTTGAATGCCTAAAATTTTATGAATCAGTCATCTATCTCTGAATTTTCTTAGAACTGTTGTTGCTGAAGGCTTTTGGAGAATACTCACTTTATTCATTGATCTACTTTGTAACAGGAGCCTTTTTTTCCATAAATTACATTTGGTATTTGATTATAAGTTTGTTACTTAAAGTTGTTTACCAGTAAAGATTGTTATTCTTCTTTCTTCCTCACTTTTTCTGCAATTTTGTAAATCCATCACCTTCTGACAGTGAATATATGGAATAGGATGAGGTGTATGAAATAGTCATAACAAAGAGAGAAATAACTTGCAGACGTGAAAGGCTTTATTTCCATGCCATTAAAAAGAAACCCCTTAAATTATGGATCTTAGTTTTTTGTATTAAAAAAAAAAAATCTGTTATTTAGTAAAAAAATAGTGAAGAAAGATAGAAAGTGGAGCATCATTCTAAGGAAAAAAAGACCCAACCCCCTTTTGTTTCATGTCTAAAGACCCATTCCATTGTTTAAGGTAAATGTGTCAGAGGAATCAAGCAGCTCCGCAAAGGGGTTTAAATGTGCCGAGAGAAAGTGAGTCTTGCTCGGACAAGAGATTCGCTGATTACATTTTCTCACTGATTGTGCATTTGATTTGCATTTTTCTCTTAATCAGTTACTAAAATAAGTGTCTTAAGCCCCTTCAGGATGTATAGAGGGATCCTGTCTGGAAAGAGCCTGTTTTGCTATTTAAAGTCAGTCCCTTTTCTCATTTGAAGAGCTTTCCCCTTCCTCTTTTTTATCCTCTGTAGCACATAGCCAGGAAGTGTTCAATGGCCTGAAAAACACAATACTGTAACTTTTACATTGGTGGCACAGAACAAGACTGTGGGGTATAAAGTGTTGTTCTCTCTTTTTCTCATGCAGGCTGGATTGCCATATTGGGAGCCATTTGGCTGCTAGTGCTTGCAGACATCCATGATTTTGAGATGATATTGAACAGAGTGGAGTGGGCAACCCTCCTTTTCTTTGCAGCACTGTTTGTTCTCATGGAGGTAAGATTCACTGATTTCTAAAGCCTAAAGTGTTACAACTGATTTAAAATGTGAATTATGTTCCTTTGCAGAGGCCTGCTGCAGATTCAATTCCACTGGAATACTGAAGATCAAGTGTAGTCATGGTAGTGCAGAGAAATTGCAGTGGTGGAAGTTGTCCAGACCTCTTTGGGTTTTAATTTTTCACTGTAAGCTTGGTCTCAGTCCCTCTCTTTCTGCTGCATTTCCTGAATATATCTGACACAACCATTTTCATAAAAGTGAAATTTTAATTTCCAGGGTTGTCGGCAGTCTATGTGTGCAGATATCTTATATGTATTTAGGTATTTGTTTTACAATTATTTAGAAAAGTGATATGAAAAATAAAAGAAGAAGAATAAACCGGAGTTTAAAAATGCTCCTAATGCTTTCTGCTACATGCTAGCTACCAAATGGCCTAAGATATTTCATGGAAGTATGGTTTGAAAGGATAATATCACTGAATTTCAGTTTGCAATTGTAATTTAAAAGGGTAATCAGTACTTGAAATACCTGGATATCTTGTGTAATTTCTTTGTGTTTGTCTGCCTGGCTATTAGAAACATTCCAGCCATGTCTGAGTGAGCAGCCTGGGAAAAGCCTCTAATAACTAATTTGCTCACACAGCCTCTGTCTTCCACCCCCCATCCACTTTTCACATCCCCTCAGTAACTGCAAAGAGCATGAGAATTCATAAATTGGGATCTATTAAAAAAAAAAAAACACTAACAGTAAAAGGGACAAAATTTGAAGTAAAGGAAAACAACAAATAATTTAAGTTAATGTCGAAATAGAAGCCAAAATCTTGTAACGTCTGAGAAGATGAATGGAAATACTGATTATCATTAGGAGGCTTGTTTGCAAGCTAGTAGGTCTAAAATTCAACAGGAAATGTTGATTTATCGTACACCCTTTAGTACAGGCAATTTTTAGTTCTCTACATTATCAGGCTCTATATATCCCTGCATTTTCTAGCTCTTATATGGAATCTATATTGAAGCCATGTTTATTTTGTCTGCTGCTGCTGCAACAGATTATTACTTGCCTTCCCTTATATATTTATTGTTTTAGTTTGTATTAAATGGTTTTTATTTGAGTGCTGTGTGACTGTACAATAAACCAGTAAAATACACAGGAAGTTACTTGCCATTTGCCACCAGACTTCGAATACAACTGTTGTAATTCACTGATCTTCACTTTTACAGCTTCTCAGGTCACCAGTGAATAGTTTGCTAACGAAAGAGTATTTTTCCTGGCTCTGTAGAATAACAGCAGTTTAAAGTCATGAAAGAAACTTGCACACATAATCAAGAAAAAAAGTGAGAGACATGAATTTCTTCCTGAGAAATGAAGGAGAAAAATGTTCTAAGTATCATCATTGCTAATTTTGATCTGACTCTATTGCTGTTTGGATTAGCAGGAGATTACAGTCCTTGCCAAACCCTTTTTCTGTCCTTTAGGTTAACAGTGTCAAGAAGAAACAAGTCAAAACAAAGATATGCACTGAAGTATGATAAATCTTCCCATGAGCTAGGTGCTCAGCAGTTGTCAGCTCATTGTGGATCACACTTGGTGATCCTTCTTTTTAAAGGGTTTTCAGTCTGAAGCTATTTCCTACTGCTAGAAATGTTCCTTTTACTATTCCAAGGCACCTGTGTGGGACTTAGGCTGTGAGTTATTTTGGAAAAAGTGAATTAAGTTCCAAAGCCATAGGGGAACCCTTGGAGGTTCTGATTTTGGGTGCTCATTGGTCCAGTCTGGTAGACTTTTTGCAATTAAAAAGTTGGAAATCCACTGGGGCTCTCTAGTTTTCTATTGTGTCCTACAACTGTCTTTTTAGTCTTTGTTCAAAACTGGCTGTTACAGGCTATAAAATATTTCTGCTTCTGTCTCTTTGTGATACAAGTTCCTGTACCTCTAAGAGATTTAGTATTATGTTCGATTTTATAGTCAAAATTGACATTTTGCCTTAATCCCTTCAGGCAAAGTTTATTTACAACAGTCATCTGTTGTAAATGACATGCTGTCCATAAGAGGGTTTCATGCAAATTTATGCATAAATTAAACTTCGATCTAAAATGGTACATTATTTTTTCTGCAGTAAAACTCTATTTTGAGCTGTCAGACAGGAGCCAGTATGCTTGAAGGCACCAATTAGTGCAGTCATACTTATTCCTCTTAGGAGATCCGGGAAGATCCAGGAGACCCTCTGTGTTGTTTATGCCCAAGGGAGGCCAGTAGCAGGGTGCTAATTGCTTTCACTTTGGTGCTTGGAGGTGATTCGCCTGCATATTTTAGAGACATCCTAAAGCTGGTTATGTGATTAGTACTGTCATCATCTCTAATGCGTTGGGCTACCGGCATATACACTGTCTTACAGAAGTGATGTGTGTGTCCTTCACTCCCTTCCCTCTTTCCCAAATATCTCTTTTGTAGTACCACGTCTGGATTCCAGAACAAATTTCAAGTGTTATTGCTGAAGTAATATGCTGTGTTAGTAGATAATTAACTATTAGGGCAGCAACGTTAACTGAATGTAACTCTGAGCTCTGATTGCTGACAGCTATGTGTTAAAAAGTTCATTTTAAAGTGTGAACACAAAGCAATTGCTGAAAAAAATATTACATTTCATTAAAAATATTGCTTATATGCACATTTTAAAAGTCACTTTCATAACCTTTGAGTTGATGAAGGAACACAGATAGCTTAGAATGAAATAACTTAAAATTACCAAAAAGAGTTAATTTCTTAGGAAACTTTCTCCTGCAAAGTTAAACTCATGAAAAAAAGTCCTCTTCATTTTAATATAGGGGGTATGAGTATGTATTTAAAGACATCACTTGTTTTCTGTGTGCTGCATCTTTAAATGCAGATATGCCTTTTCTTGTGTGATGCATTGTTAAAAAATATATATAATTTCTGGGACAAAATTAATATGTGCTGATACCCAAACCTCTACATTCAGCTGCCACCTGAATGAGCTGCAGGTGCAGGAATTGCCAGTCTGAATGACAGCCCCTTTGTCACCCTGACATTAGCGAGTCTCATACCACACCACTCAGTGCCTATTAGGATCTTTGTCCATCTCTGTCATGGAATTTGACAGCGTGCGAATTGGATGTTTTTTTGCCCACTGATGTCTCTGATGGGCTCTGTCTGACTGCCAGGTGTGCAGGTTATATGGAGTTGTGTTGTGTGAATACGGGCTCCTGCAGCCCCGTATGAGAATGGAGTCAGTAAGTGAGGCATTGCAGCTGACCGATTCTTTGTCATGGCAGAGAAAAAAAGAAAGAAAGACCAAGTTCAGCTTGGTCTGGGCTGAACCAAAAATGGTGATATTGTCCCTTGAGAAACTGAAAAGTCATAAAATAGTTATACCCCATTCAATCTGATAATTCTGAACACTTGTAAGAAAAGGAAACAAAACCAAAGTGAATTGAAGGGTAGCTCTCATGGGTTAAATTTCCCCTTTTACCTTGTAGTTTGAGGGAATATATAATTCTCCAGGGATATGAATATTCAGTTTATATTCTTCTGTCTGTCTAAGGAGAGATGGGATCCATCACTCTGGACTGGAGTGATCCAAGGCTCTGGACTTTAAATTTCCCCTTTTACCTTGTAGTTTGAGGGAATATATAATTCTCCAGGGATATGAATATTCAGTTTATATTCTTCTGTCTGTCTAAGGAGAGATCGGATCCATCACCTCTGGACTGGAGCCTTGCTATGCCTTTTCATCCAGGGTAGTAACCATGATTGTGTGGGATGCTGAGTGTCCGGTACAAATGGGAATGGCTCTAACAGAGGGGACAGAGCACTCTAGTCCAGGCTGCCTGGGGCTTATTACTTACAGGGCTCAACTCCTCAGTTCAGGTGCCTGACATGCTTTCTCTTTTCTTCATCTGAGATTGAGCACAAGATGCCTGTTTTCATCTGACCTTTTAAACATGATATACTTCTATCTATATGTGGTTTCAGGGGAGTACGTTTACAATCAGTTGTGTTCAGGTATTCAGAAAACACATACCCACTGAATAAAGCAATCTTTAAATTTCAACTGTTCTCTGATGCCTGTGTCCCACACTCTTTAAGTAATCCCACCCGTCATTCCAGCACAGCCAACCCGCTTCTGCAAACACAGCTACCAACTCTGGCCATGTATTTCCTTTCTACTAATTGCAAAGTTACTGTAGAAGATGCATGAGATGGATATCAATATCTGGTGAATAAGAGGGAATTGTATTTTCTTACATCCACTGAAAAACATGTAACTGCCTCAGGTACTTCACTAGTTAATATCAATGTCTTTCTACTTTTAGGCTTTGGCTCATCTGCACTTAATAGACTATATAGGAGAGCAGACAGCTTTGTTAATAAAGGTATGTTTAAAATAGTTATAACTTTTTAACAGGTAAGGAAAATAGTTTTAGTCCAATGGAATAATTTTCCTTTTGAATTTAATGTTAATGATTGCATTGTTGCATCAGCAGTATCAAGAAAACATGTTATACTTCAGCTCGTTGATATTTAATAGATACATATCTGTCGACAGCAGAATAAACATAGCCATAAATGCAGAAGCAAAGCCTTTCCTGTAGCCTAAAAAACCCAAGAAAATATAATGTGTAACATGGGAAAATCTAGAGTTGCACAGTTTTTTTCTTGTGTGAAATGTAAATATGACTATCAGAAACATCAATCTTTGTACTCCTATTTGTTCAGATTTTCTTGGAAAAAGAACAAAATTGTGTTGCTAAATTTAGGGCTATTTTCTTTGTTTTTCCTATCTCATAGCCTGAAGAAGTAATAAATGTTGATAAATTAAAACTGTGGAGAATGTGCAATTATGCCATCGGGGGGACAGAGCAACACTGATCTCATCAAAGCTGTAATTGACCTCTCTCAATTCCAGGTGGTTCCTGAGGACCAGCGCTTGGCAGTGGCCATCATTCTAGTGCTTTGGGTGTCTGCTTTAGCCTCCTCTGTGATTGACAATATCCCCTTCACAGCTACAATGGTAGGGGTCTGCGCGGCACTTTTTGCATATCCTCCTCCTGATACTGGCAAGAGAGATGAGCTTGTTGATTATGATTTGGTTTATTTTTTCACTTCTGCTGTGTTGTAATTTACTTTATGCCTGAAGATTGAATCATTATTACAAGCTTATTCATACCCTTTAGGCATCTAGCCGGACATCACTGCCAGCGGTTGCAGTTTGCTGTGGAACTAGATCCACGGTTTGGGCTGTATTTTTACACTTTCCCTGTTTTATCCATATCTGCAGCTGAAAAGTAAAATTGTCTGTTAGATGGAAACTGTCACTAACCATCCACTGCTATCAATATTTTCTCTTTATGCACTGTGTCGTTACGCTAATGCTTTTTTAACACCTCAACATTTTATTGCTATTTTACTTATGTAATTAGTTTAAAAACCAGCAAATAACATTAATCATAATAAATGTTTATCAGCAGCTGAGTTTTAATATCAGAAAAATATCACATTATAATATATTAAGGCATGATCAGATGGGTTTATTCAATCAGTTTCTCTGTTTACGGTGCAATAATCCCTTCATTATACCAAAGGAATGATTCACTGTTATAGTTTGTTCTCAGCAAAGTAGATGTTTTTCTTCCATTGTTATTGGGTGGTCAAGTCCACCCTTAACCTGTGTCAAGGTTTACTACACTTCTTATAGCGCATATGATGGGTTGGACTGATTTGCAACTGCTCTATAATTATATGTTAATAGGGTATTTTGGTTTGATTACTGTGGTATTTCCTGTGGAATTATATCAATTTAACAACAACAGACTGCAAGCAATAGGCACAAAGAGGAAGATTGGTTCAGGATGAGTCACCTCCCAGCAAACACTTGAGGATTATTAAGCAATAATGCAGAAGTCTTAGCTTCAAAGGTTTTGCCTCATATCCAGATAGTCTATGAAAATTACTTTGGAGCAATACCAAAATACACCTGTATGCACATCAACCAAAGGGTCTTTTACAGGTTTTGGAAGGAACCCTCTTTTAAAAGAGTATGTCTTGGGGAACGGGACTGAAACACAGGAGTCTTTTGAGATGCTTGAAGACCACTTCTTTTGTACCTTCGAGGGAGTGAAATACAGGTGGACAGGAAATGATTGCTGTGTCAAAATTTTAGGCATTTAGAATGTATATATTTTTCATGCTGTTCTGGGATGAACCTACGAGACAGCTAAATTTTTTGTTTGTTTGTTTGTTTAAATAGGTGGAGAGAGGAGGGAGGAAGAAAGAAAAATTAAGGGATATTCTCATCTGTGTAAGAGTACTCATAAGCTGAGGTGTTAAGACATTAATATGTTATACATCAGATGAGACCTAGTATCACCTAGCTCAATGAATGGGCTTGGACTTTGGTCTTTGTCATTCTATATTAGTAAACAAGTTTCAGAAAATTCCTAAGTAACTAAGTCCCAAGTTCTTGTGTAAGATTGTGTAATCTTTCATTTAAAATTATTTTTGCTTCTTTGACACTGGGTTGCTACTGTCAAAGCTGGCAATGTTTGAGTTTGGAAGGCTATTTATCACTATTTATGTCAAAGTTTTGAACTTCACATATTACAATATTACATATACTGAACACATCTTTTCTGTACAATAGGTTTTGCTGTTCTACAGAATAATCAGAGACTAAGTGTGTGTGCATCTAATAAACACAGTGCAACATATATTTCTTATATCTCTATTTATTGACTTGCTATTTACAGCATCAAGCTGTAATTATTAATAGCAGAAAACCATCCACATGTCATATTCACTTATTCAGTCACATAGTTCACTCACACATTCACACAGTTACTCAGCTGACAAGCTTCTGTATATGAATTTGGTTTCATATGCCATAGTGATACTGGAGCATAGGACACCTGCTACAATGTAAGCATGAATGATCCTGCCATTTCTTGGCAAAAGATGTCAGCTTCACAGCTGAGCTTGTGCTTATAATTATGGAAGATGCAAACGTACTGACTCCCTCCAGCAAAGCCTTCCAACAGGTTCATATATCTCCTTCAGTGATGAACAAATGTCTGTATGACAATGGGGAAATAGCTCTTGTGATTTCTGCAGTCATAGCATTGATGAACTGGATAGGGATATGGGACCATCATGTTCCTCACATTTTTTGAAACTACAGATACAAAAATCCTGGGTGGCTTCATAGACATCAGGTATATGCTCTGACTGAGCAAAGAGTGCTTGGAGAATGGCATCAGAGACTTCTGCCATTAATGGATTATTTTACCCCAAGGTGGTGAGCCAGTGATCGATGAGTTAGGGGAAATGGGGATCACAGGGTGTGTGTTGGTTCTGACTGGGACAGAATTAATTTTCTACATAGTAGCTAGTATGGGGCTGGGTTTTGGATTTGTGATGAGAAGAATGTTGATAACACTGATGTTTTAGTTATTGCCAAGCAATGTTTAATTTAAGCCAAGGACATTTCAGTTTCTGATACTGCTAGGAACTTATGTTCTCAGCTTCTTCTCTGCAAGAAGCTGTGAGGAGACACAGCTAGGATAGCTGATCCAAACTGAGCAAAGGGATATTTCATGCCGTAAGATGCAACGCTCAATATATAAGTTGAGGGGAGTTGGTGGCAGAGGGGTGTTGCTGCTCAGAGATTTGTTGGGTGTCGATTGGTGAGTGGTTATATAATTTTTTTCTTTTCATTACATATTACTCTCATTATCCGTAGTAGTAGCATTTTCAGTATATAGTAGTAGTAGCAGTAGCAGTATCACTATTTAATTTATTTTCAAATATTAAACTGTTCTAATCTCAACCCATGAGTTTTCTTACCTTTTCCTCCAATTTTCACCCTCATCCCACTGAAGGAGAGGGGAGGTGAGTAAGTGGCTGTGTGGTCTTAGTTGCTGACTGGGGTTAAACCATGACGAGGTGACAGTCTATTTGACTTGCATGTGGATAAGGATTCCTGAAAAATCATGCAAAGATGTTGAAAAGCTTTTTGGCAGCTCACAGTCAATGGAGTCTCTTCTGCAGTAGAAAGATGAATATCCAGTTCTTTTTGTCCCATATTCCAGGGATGAGACAGTCCTGCCAGTTTCAACTTTCCAGTTCTAAGTGTCCAGCTGATTGCTGGCAAAACTACTGTGATTGCAAGGATGCATAGAAAGTCATGTTGCTCCATTCCTTCAGAGATGGGAAGGAAGGTGCAAGAAGACAGGCATCAGTTCATTGATGAGATGTTCCCAACACTGCCCCTATGTTGCTGAATAAGGTTGTCCATTCATCCCCTACAACACCATGCTGTGTGTGTTGTCCAGACTTGGAGCAAGAAGGTGGGATGGGTTACACACACTCAGTGTAGTAACTCAGAAATGGCATGGGAATGGATAGAAGCAAGGGTCTCCAATGTGAGGTGACTGACTCCCTGACTGAAGGCACTGTAGATAAGAGACTCAGTTCTAACTCTTCCAATCTCCTATTACACCACGTTACTTGTTAATGTAGAAGTAGCCCATACAATTGGTATGCATTTTGACCCAGGACCTGCCTGAGAAATGGAAGAAACATGGAATTCCATGATAGCAAGTAAGAAAGCCTGAGGCTTGACTGATGGGGTACTTAGCTGGAGGGAAGCAAAAGAGAAAAACCAGCAGATAGCTCTATGATACTGTATTTTCATTACAAAAAAAAAAAAATCAAATTGGAGGATGGTTGTCCAAATTTTTGTTTCAACTTCTTTGCTTTTACTAGTGGTATTATCATATTCATAATGACGTGCTTTGTTTATAGAAAGAATATAAAATTTTGAAATTGTGAATGCTTAATTAATGGGTCTTGAGGCAAAAAAATTCACTTTATCTGTATTTGGATAAAGTTGACTGCTCCATTTTAAGTTTCAGATTTGACGGCATTAAAATTTATAGATGGCTGATTCTTACCTTAACAGGATGTAAATGTGGAAACTTTAAATCAATATTTAAAAGAGGTAACTAGAATATGAATATATCTGAGCCAGCATTACAATGAATTCTAGGAGGCATACTGTTTTATGAATTGAAGTAATGAAAACAGGTAAGGAAAATGGTTTCCTAGAAGAAAATCTGAGCCTTTTCATGAATTGCTAAGTATTTATGTAGACAAGTTACGATTCTTGCTTACCCTAAAACATAATCACAACACATTATCCGCAGTCTTAAGAACAAAATCCTAAATATTTTATTTTAAGATGACAATGTTTTAAGATGCAAAATATTCATGTGCTTAAGCATTCTGAACACATTGATACTTTTCAGCAGCCTTCAGATTGACATCATGGAGAAGAATTCTCCCTTACTAAAAAAATTCTGAAATTCCAAGAATCAGATTAGTTTAGCATTTGAAGCAACTCACTCTGAAAATACCTGTTCAGTGCAACACTGTTATTGATCAAATTCTTTTTTGCTCTAGACAAGAGCAAATGTAGCATACATTTACTGTCTAAAATGTCAGTACCCTATGGAATTCATGTGCAGAGGTTGCTAAACTGAAATCTCTGCAAAGAATTCAGAACGCAGCAATTATTTTATGCTACAGAGAATGCTGTAGAAAGATAATTGCATACATGAAACAGTGGAATGAGTTGAGGCACTTAGCTCATCATAGGTTGATTACTTTTACTGTTTCTGTCTTGGTGAAATTCTGTTTGTGTTAAGCTAAAATAAAGCATTGAAGCTGCACAAAGACAAAACGGAGTTTCTTCCAGTTGCTTGTTTCACATAATTTATCCTGAATGCAAAGATCATGAACTGTCCCAAAACAAGATGAGATTGAAACTTGTTTGATGAAAGGTCTTGAATCCCAAGACTTTTCCCTTCTCTTTAAGCGTTGGAGAGTGAAGATCCAGCTCCCTAATTAAATGTTTACATGAGTGCATGTTTATTTCACTTAATTACATAAGCCTGGCAATTGTGACAGAAAAAACAATATCTTTTTGTCAATGTGTGAAAAATATACTATAGCATA